CATTGTAAACACAAACGAAAAAGAATCATAGTCTACTCATTTGTTTTTGGATTCTTTTTCTGAAAGATTGTTAACGCGTTTTTTAAGGGGCTTGTCTGAATGGAAATTGTAATAAACCCTTAGAAGCATTTATGAAAGGGTATATGAAAATTAAATACCCTTTCATAAACCCTTCTAAGGGTATATGAAAGGGATTAAGAAACTTTTCACATAAGGTAAAAGGGTTTAGTCTACGTTGCACTTTCATAAACCCTTAAAGGGTTTATTGTTCTACCCTTTTTTTTACAGTGTACTTATGCTGAAATTACAAGTATTAGTACTTGGCACTTGCTCAAGTAACAGGTACTAATGCAAGTACTAAGTATATATTTTGAAGTACAAGTACGAGTACCAAATCCATCTGATGAGTACTTATACTTGTACTTGAATTATATACCAAGTATTTCTTACTTGTACTTATACTCGAAAAAGTACAAAAATTACGAGTACAAATACTTTCGTCCGAGCTCTGATTCAGCTGCAGCTATAGTTGCTGCATATGGATTAAGAGGATTGAGAAGACAAATTTCTTGATTACTACCAGATGATGCTTCCCCGTAAACTTCGTCAGTACTAATATGAATGAATTTTAGAATTTTACCGTAAATTCGACTTGCTTCAAGAACCGAATGAGTTCCGTAAACATTTGATTCAGTAAATGTAACACTGTTACCAAATGAATTATCAAGATATGCTTGAACTTAAAATTAAAATTAAAATCAAAGAAAACGTTTCGGAACTTCACACTAGGTTTAAATGTGTCGCATGTGTCGTGGCTTGCGACACAATGTACGACACATTCGAGTGCGACATCAGGTGCTCGTTGCGACATATTATCTCCAGCGATGGCACAACGAATTTTGTACGACACATGCGACACATTCTTGTGACGATTTTAGATAGAAGAGAAGCCTGTGCTGATGGTATTACACTTTATTTCACTCTTCAAATCATAAAACCGCATCGATTACATATAAAGCACACGCTTAAATACTCAACCATTTGAGAGAATGAAGGAGAATGAGAGATAAAGACAAATATTAAGGACAGAAAGATAAAGGCAATATATGTGATGAGAGTAAATGGCACCTTAAGGCCAAATACCATGCACAGGCCACACTCGAACGGGAGCGTTACACTCTCACGTGGAATTTAGACGCTCTCCGCATTTATGGTTACAATTTTGAAAACGTTTTTATGAACCCACTAGTCAGAAATTTATTTTTATTTTTATCAAAAATATTATGATAATTTTTTCGATTTTGGTCTATTTGAACAGTTTTATTTCTGAAAACTCAAACAGGTCAAATCTTGAGATCTGAACAGTCTTGAGTCGGTCCGGTTTTTACCAGACCATTTTCGGGTAGTCCTAACTCGATCGATGACCAAGATAGGCATTTTCTCGGCTAATTATTAATCAAGAAATAATATAAAAAATATTTGAATGAAAATACATAACTTTTGTATGTTCAATCGAGTTCTCTATATAGGATCTTTTACGCAAAAGAAAAGGGTGAATCGATAGTCGACACACAGAACGAGATAGATTTTTTAGCGACACTTTCTGTTGCGACATACTTTCGACACTGAACCTGCGACACTATTACTCGCAACACATATATGCGACACATCTTAATTTAGAGTGTTCAGATTATGACTTCTAACGATTCTCTAATATCAAAGCTGTAGATACCAAAGCCTAACTATCAGAGAAAAAAAGATGAGGTATGTTTATAACATGAATGCTTCTTCCTCGACTAAAGCGGTTATATATTCATTTCCTAGAACTACATAGACCAATAATATCTGTTTTGAAGATCCAAATAACATTGGATGATGTTATCTACTCTATAAGTCAACTCCAGTCAGAATTTCTAAAGATTGGCTCATTGTTTTATATGCTTATCATTAGTGAAGAGGTTTTCGGAGCCAATACTCTAGGAAGATCGGCAGCATAGCGAAGGATTTTCACTCTTAAATAGGAATAAATTTACTGTTCATACGTTAGGTCAACAATAGAAAAGATGTGTGCTGATATATAACTCACTAGCAATGTAAAATATGTAACTCGTTTTAGTAAACGTTCAGAGTTTCTCGGAGTTGAATTCAAAAAAGCTGTTAGCGCAATCCCTGTGGGATTAAAATGTGAAACACGATAAACCTCGTTTTCTCGAATTCGTCTACCACGGTCTGTGGAGCTTCTCTGCCATGGTCTGTATCTGTGTTATGGTGTATGAACCCAGGTCGAACAGTACGGTCCGTATACGGCCGTTGACGGTTACTTTACGATTATTTTACGGGCGAAAGTTTGCCGTAATATCTGGCGCAGTAATACGGACCGTATTACGTGTATCATGAGATTACGGAGCACAAACAGCCGTAAACCATGAAAATTCAGTCCCGTTTACGGTGCCGTATTACTGCGCCAGGTATTACGGACAAATGCGGCCTATTTACTGCCGTAAATATACCGTTTTGACATCGTTTACCGTCGATAAACAGACCGTGACAGAGCCTTCAAAATCCATCACAGACAGTGGCAGAGCCTTCAAACCATCACGGATCGTGACATCGAATTCAGAAACCATGACAGACCGGGACAGAGACCTCAGAAACCATCACAGACCGAGACAAAGAAATTAATTAATTTCTCTGTCCCTGTCTGTGGGGGAGGGCGGGGGATGGGTCCAAATGTCTACCCTATATAATTCAACACTCCTTTCAGATCGTGTTTCACAAAATATGATTTCCTAGAGACTTTCGTGTGTGGCTACCTAATAACAATTCTTTAACAAAAATAGATTATATGTTCTTTAATAATTTGTTTCATAAATTTTTCCAAGTCTCACACAGAGGCAACAATATCGAGATAAATAAAAATAAAAATAAAAGCTTTTCTGAGATTTACCTGCAAAATGAATAATATGTGTAATGTTATATTGATTACAAAGATGTAAAACAATATCTTTATTTTTAATATCTGCTACAATTAAAGAATAGTTCGATGAATTTGGATTTGAAATATTGTTTGTATTTGCAACAGGATCAAGCCGATCAATATTAATTATTTTATCATTTGGATATGTTTCAATCCAATGATTAATAAATGCACACTAAATAAAAATGCGTCGGCTCTATGTGTCGTGAATTTTTGTGTTGTGCTCTCTATTACAAAAATGTGTCGTAAATTTTTGTGTCGCACTTTGAATGAAAAAAATGTGTCGTATATTTTTCGCGTTCTGTCAGTCGACTAGTCGTTCACCGTTTTGTTATGAACATACAGCGACATATAAGCAACATCGTTGA